ACGAACCGTGGTAAGATTACTTGTCGTCGATGTTGTTAGATACGCACGTGGGCATGAGAAATAAATATTTCCACGATGAAAAAAAAATTGCACCGTAAAACAGTTGGTATTGAATTTAACCGTTAACGTCTTTGGCCTTGCTGGGGTTTTTAAAAACATAAAGTTTAGGGGCCCTTTCAGAAACAAAAGTACAATTATTATTTCACATTACCTACTGATTTACAAATTATAATAAACATTTGGAATTCGAAACAAAACTTTTAGACCTATTTTACCTATTTCTTCAAAAACGTAACAACGATATTGTTTTATCACGAATATTGCTTAAAATTACTTTTAAATTATAACTTATTACTTAAACCTAACTACTAACCTGACAATCAGATATTTAGTTGTGATAGGCTACGCCAATATTTTCTAATGCAAAGATGTGAATCATATTTTTCGGAGCCTCCGTCGGTTGGGGGAGGGGCTCGGGGCTCGGGATCGTGTCCCACGTGTCTTTAGGGTAAATATAGCATTGGTTACCGATAGGATTATAATAACGAATGGTGTTCAAGTCTCTTGCGCTGAGGTATTTTTCAAAATCGCTGTACGTTTTACAATTAATTTATATGTCTCTGCTTTTTCATTTTTTTCGATGCTTTCATTACGCAATAAATAATAAATCACCCATAAACCTACCAGATATCAATACTCGTTTCAAAATTATTTAACATGCATCGTACTTGTATATTACGAAGGAACCGAGAAAAATACAATAAAGGATACTTAATTGTACTATTAATAAATCGTGTTGGAAGCTTTGCGCGTGTTTGAATAATACCTCTTCCGACGCGACCGACGGCGCGCGGCGGCGGGCTCGCGTATTCCACTTGTACTGTGTATATATAAGATGAATAATTAATCTACACCTTGGATAGGTACCTGATCACAGGGTATTAATCTAACGAGATAAGACCTTGGTTGGCAGTAAGTTTCAATTTGCATACCAGTTGCTCGATAATAAATCCTAAGCCCCTAAACGGCAATTCATTTCACGTTTAGAATCGAGTTGGCCGCTAACGAACGGAATGGAAAACGCATTTCGAATTCAGGGGACGCAGCAACGATGTATAATAATATATAGCACAACGATATAAGTTTTTTTTTTATTTTACTTCCACCAGATACGCGTACACATATAGTTAAGCTCGTTGCGAGCACGTACCCCAGCAGATTCACCTGTACGAATATTATCTGCGCGCATTACACACATGCGTTATTATAATATAATTATTTTTGCTATTTTACTAGGCATTTATTTATTTATTCTTTTGCTCTACCTGCACCGCCAGTTCTCCTAGGTCGGAAGACTGGGCGGTTGTTCCTTGACTCTTGGTACGGTCGATTTATCTTTTTGTGGATAAAGGAAGCTTGTTAGAGCGGCAAAGGCCGTGCCGCTGCGTGCGGTTAGATTAAAACGGACAAAGGACTACGGGGCAAGGATAGAGGGAAAAGGGGAGGAACGAATAGTGTGTATAGAGAGAAATTCGGAAATTGGCTTGTTAAAAGTTGCCATGTCGTCGTTGTCGATTTATATGTCTACAATGTATATATGTATATACACAATGGAATCGCTAAACCAGGTTTCAGTTTTCCCCTCGAGGGCCAGCAACTGCTATGAAACCGATGAACCACGAAAGAGAAAATATTTGATGAACCGTTTGAACGGCAATATATGTATAGGATGTAAACGGATGCAGCAACTCGGAATGGAATAAACCATCACGTATGATATTATTATGTTCATATATATGAACAAGTCTAGAAATGCGTAGAATTTTAAAATAAAATGAAATATTGAATGTGCAACGATAATAACAATGTTGTAGGAAATGCGAACAAAATTTGTCGCAAATCGATTCGATGTTGTGTACACGTTTTCCTTTGTTTTACGTGTACTTTATGTTGCGTATTTTATGTGTATACCGCATCAATACTGTTAACAGTACACTCAAAAGATTTGTACACGCGACTGTGGTACCACGTTACGGTATGGTAATATTACATTTATACCGTTGCGGTACTTAAATATTATGTTCGGATCAGATCAGGAAATCTTCAGCTATATTATCTTAATGAAATGTATCCAGTGGCGCTGTGGAAGAACTAATGGGCTCTGAAGTCCCCCGCCTTAAATTGCCCATATTTGTTAATATTCGTTTTTATAATTATCCCCGATCTTAAATCCACAGTTATATCTGTGCAAATAAAAGTGCTTAAAATGTGTATCGTATATTTATCTGACTACTACAACTCACAACTATAATCTATAGACATCTATAGTTAACACCGGACCGATTGTATCAACAGTCAAAACGTCGTTAGGTACCAACAATTAAGTTATACAGCAATTTTCAAAAACTTCACCTAAGTTACTACAGTAAATAGATTGAACAAAATAAAAATTTATACTATTGCTATTTCTTTTATAACTATATTTTTTCGTTGGTTATTTTAGTTAATTAAGAACTAAAAAAACACCTTTATTTTTCAAACTAAATCTTTTGACAGTTGAGTAATTACTTATTTTAAAGCTCCCCACCATTGAAAAATCGTGCGTCTGCTACTGAATATATCACATATTTTCCGTCAAGAACGTTTGTAAAGTACTCAGGACTTAAATGAACAAGACAAAATATGCAAATATATATAGACGTATATATATATATACACTTGTATAAATATATATTAATTTCCTCGTATATATATACACACGTGATATTGCAGTTTGTATACGACGCGAAACAACGCGTAACAATATCGTCGTACAATGCAAATCGTTTATTTGGATGTACGAAAATTAAATGACCCCGCACCATGGAGCTTCTCGGGTAATAATTCGCAGTTCACACCGACAACAATGCTCTGAATAATAACAAAGATTTATATTCTGACACTGCGTGGACGGGAATAGTATTATTGTTATACTTTTTCGTTTACCCGTACGTACGGCGTTATCGCGTCGTTCACGCGCGTCTGCAGCAGGACCAATACTCGGGATGGCGTTCGATTAAAATGCTGCGAGCCTGTAACTCCCATTGTTGTCCAAGACGGCGAACATTCGAAAGAGAGAAATCGTTGCTTTTTACTGCCGGCTCCTGGGATGCGTGAAACCCGGCCGTTCGAGACCGATTATTATCGCTATTATTATTATTATTATTATTATTATTACTAATATTATTATTATCATCATCATCATCATCATCATCATCATCATTATTATTATTATTATTACGATTATTGCGGTGTGCATAATTTCAAAACATTCGGAACACCGTTGCAGAATGCGTGTGGTGTACATGTTGGATGGAGCAAAATAATTTTTGTTCCGGGGTGCAGTGAAGGGTGGAGGGATGGCTGAATTATTTAAGATATTGTTTTTAGGATTTATGGACGGCAGAAAGATTATGGACTTTCAGGTCGTAAACATAAGATTGATGTGCATCCTTAAGCATAAAATAACACCATGTTTAACAAGTATGGCATTCAAATAAGATATTTTTCTTGTAACTTACCGTGATCACATGAACATAGTTTGTTTAACAAATTTACTACACATATTTTGTACAAAAATAGCAATAATACAAAACTTTTTAAATTACTCGATAGTGATAGCAATGTTATAACTACTCAATATTATAAGAAAAATATTTAGTTTAATAGTTCAAATAAAAAATTACGAATTATGAAATATTTAGTAAACATAAAAATACTTACATTTCAGAATTTAAACGCAATAGATTATATTACAGATAGGTACATGTGTTGTCTGCTTATCGATTTCGAATAAGTAACCATTTTCTCGCAGTATAAACACATGATGTATAGATTTCGATTCTTAATTATTTTGGAATTTGTTTTAAAAGTAAATCGAATATGCATATTTCATCAAAGTTACAAACCCATGAACCTTATAGAAATAGAAATTTATTCTTACTAATTATTTAATAGTTCTAATATTTAGTAAGATAACTCGGATAGTATAGATATACACCGAAAAGTATACTAGCAAAAAAAAATCTTAATATAATACATATGATTATTTGAATGCATTAAACTAGTAGCTTTCATATTATGTTGTTTGGAATATTTAAAATTTTATCACCCAAATAAAATGAAAGATTCAAAGAGGCGACTACTAATAAAAATTAAATATACATACATTTGAAAAATAAAATGTTATTAAAAACCTAAATTCTATTTTCATGAATAGACCGTCAATTTTCAGTTTTTTTACAGCTTTAAATTCTAAAAAATAAAAATGCAGATTTAACATAATTTCTTTTAACACTTTTCTAAAATATCAGTAAAGAAAAAAAATATGAGTAATTTGAATCAGATTTTTATATATATGATGTGTGTGAAGTTTTATTTTATAGTACATTTTTCAAATAGGCGTTGTTAAATAAGTGAAATATTTGATGTGTTATTCTTCTTAAAATAATTTTTAACTTACTTTATACAGTAGTTTAAGTTATTTTGTTCAGAAATACATATTGTATTAAATTAAAAATGCTCAATAATAATAATATAAAAAATAAACGGATAAAATATTTTCTCACTTTAAATTCACAGTTCTTTCTCTTCAAATATATATTTATGTTATTGTGTATACTGCTCAGTAAATGAAAAATTATTTTTAACCAAATATTATTTAATATTCTTGGAACAATTTTAAGATAGAAATGACGTTGAACGTATGAAACGTTTATTTCCATGGACCGCTGTGAACTTAATTCACATTCGTCGTAACATAAATAATATAGTTATTTTTTAACGAATAATTTCGTCAATAATTAATATCAAAACAACATACCTTAAGTATCCTAATACCTTGAGTTATGAGAACATATATTAAACTTAAACAGTTACTATACGGATGGATAGAATATTGTCCGTAATAGCAATTATGTTAAACCGTGATTTAATTTATTCATTTTTTTTTTTAATTTTAGATATACGACATTGGCTAAAATGGTAGACACCGATCCAGGCAGTCTGTTCATCGTCGGTTCGTTTAATAAACGTACTGATCCGGATTTCAAAGTGAGTAATGTTCTCAGTGTATTATTGAGCAATAAGCATTCTATACAATATATTAACTGTTGGGCAGTAAGTATACTCTCATTTATTTACATATTTACGCCCTAGGTGTTTGTCTGTAAATTCAAATTTTTTTTCGACATTAACATATTATATGTAAGCTTTCCGAGTTGTGTACCAACACAATGGAACAGTATTAGCACTACTCTTGTATGTATTTTTTATTATTTTTTTTTTTTTTTTTTTTGAAAAGAAACATGCAGTTTTTTCTTATTTTATCAAAACAAAAGAATAGGTTTAACGAAATTCTGACCCTAATGGAAATCATGGAAATAAGCATGACATCGGAAGCTGGGGAATTGACAAAAAAAAAAGTTTTTTCCTAAAAACAAAGAAGTTTTCTTAGATGAATAATGTTTTGGGGATAAAAATCTATAAAATAGCTTAAGATCACGAAAACGTTAAGGAAGAGGATTGATGAACTTTTTTTTTCTTTTTTTCGTTTCCCTACATGAGCACTCAAAACTTTTCAAAACACATTCCTTAACAATGTTTTGGAAATTGAACCACTGCATGGATAATTCTATACTTTGTCCGCCGTCAAATCTACACGGAAATGATGTTCATTTTATTTGTTTCCTTTATCTAGCCGTATTACTAATGATGAGCACGGAAAATAATTTCTTTTATTATTTATATGTAATATGTGAAAACACATGAAAACATTCCTACAGTATTATCTCGCACGTTATACATATTTAATTTGTCAAAACTGTGTTTTCAGCTATGTACCTGAACAGTGCAGAGAATGCGTATATTTAATGTAACTATAATGTAAAAACAACGTGAAAATATGCACGAATATATAACGTCGATTATGAAAATTTATTGTTTTTTTTTTTGGTCGTCAATTCGTTAGTCCGGCTTGTGACACGTCTTACGCATTTTTCATCAAATCACTTTACACCTCGTAATATCTTTAACAAGAACGCACTTAGAATTTTTATTTTTATTTTTATACGTAAACTTGACATTATTTTGAAAGTTTTTAAATTGTATTATTATCAAAAGCGTGCTTGCATCATAATATTGTAGTTAAACAATGTAAAATAAATAATTTAGACCTGTAATCGTTATTGTACAGTAAAATATGGAAACGTTTGACCATCAATAACTTTTTTTTTTTTTTGGTTTTCGGTCATTGAGAACATTTTGCCAAACAAATTTCTCTCCATCCATCTCTATCTTCCACCGCTACTTTCCATGGATTTTCTGATTCGATACTTCCCGCGTCATTTTCACTCAATCTTCCTAACGTAAACGTGGTCTTCCAAGAAGTCTCTTACCGACTAGGTCCTTTTCAATTGTTGTTCTGATAACAAATATATATATAGATCGTACTCTCCGCTATACAGTTCTTTTCTTGATTTCATTTGCGACGTTTGAGCTTTGAAACAGTTCCTCAAGTTCTTTATCATGACGTTCACGCCATTCTTTTGTGTATGTATGCCAAGGGCTTACCCAGGGGGGGGTTTTCAGGTCCGGACCTCCCCTCCATTGAAATTTCTACATACTCAACAATTTAATAGTAAATAGTATAATAATAGAATATAGTGTATTTTAATTTCACATTGTCTTCAATATATAAAATCTATAGATTATATAATATACCTATTATGTATAAACCATACTACAGTATATTAACTGGTATTGAGTTAAACTATAATTATTATTAGAGAACACATAAAAGATAAATATTGGACCCCTTCCCCCCCATAAAAAATCCCTGGGTATGCTCCTGATGTATGCTGACGCTTAGGCCATAGATTGATGACCAACAATTATTAAAGTACCCAATGCTATTTTCAATAATTATTAATATTGGTCAACTGGTAAAATTACAGAAAAAGTAAAATGAAAACAATAAAGAACAAAAGCAATAGGAATATTATTAAAACTGAAACATAATATCCAAACAATAAATGCTCACATGATAAGGGTCAATTTTTTCGAGCTTTCATTATAAGTGGCTAGTATTTGGACGAATACATACGACATGGTTCAACATTGATTCACATATAGAATTTTCGTAAATATTTAAAAAATATGTATCAATATCGTACGTACGTACGAGAGGTATCTCTCGTATAGAGGTTTCGCATCATATATGTATTTATAATGATCCAACTTCTATAAAATTGTATATATTTTTAAAAGATTAACTTCAGATCACCTGTATCAGGGATTGATGCATCGAATGGGGCATAAAAAATTAAGTTTTTATTTTAGTTTTTGTAGATAAATTAAAGACAGACGACGGAAACGTATGAGATTAAATTTTTACTCGTATTTAAATTTATTTAAGACCGATATCGATATTGATTCTTACGGGGATGCTAGTGACATTAATTGATGTTTTTTTTCTTATTATTTTCACTGACTTCACACAATAATGTTGTTGTTAAGCAAGAACTTCTTTTTGGTTTTGTGTTGTACTGTTTATGCTTACGTATTCTATATCAGCGGTTCTCAAACTGTGTGATCATTTTCTAAGGACACCGCGGTCTACGTTTCATAACAAATAGTTTAAAATGTATAAAATTATTTTTTCCTTATTGTTTTCTTAAAAACTTTATAGTAAATAATGTAATATTTTCTATTGTATATTCAGATATTCTCATTTTAACCTTATTATATTTTTATATAATAATTATAATCATAATAACAATAATTTTTATTTATTTATTTTTTAAGTTTAAAAATGCATTAATTTATACATGAATTAAATTTTAATAAAATTAATAAAATTGATGATCAATAAGTTTTTTTTTTTTGTTCTGTCTTAAATGTTATTCATAGCTGGGTGCCGTGGCTAAATTGGGTCCAAAAAAAGGCACCGCTGAAATAAAAGTTTGGGAACCGCTGTTCTATATGATACTGTGCGAGTGTAACTACGAATTTACTAGTTGGTAATATCCCGTTGCTATAATTTTCGGCAATACAGAGACACACAAATTGAAGTACAATGTTTTAATAATCCTACGATCACGGGAAAGATTTTTATAAAATATTATAAATAAGTATTTGGACATGACCGTTACGAGAAGTGCACTGGTTTAAGCCAATTTATAACATTAATTATTTCTTAATACTGAACATCCTTCACTACCACTGAGAAAACTCATTCTCTAATTAATAACAATACGATGAAGAATGTAATGTTTTAGACAAAAATGTTCTGTTAATATCTTAATTTTAAAATAATACCTTACGAGCATCACAATCTTCAAATGTTCGATGAGTTTCAAAATTAAAGATTCTATTTGGAGACGAATTTCACAGTGAGAATAAACTTGTCATAAAAAAAAAAAAAAGCCAATGATCAAAATCTACAATGCCGGCTGGTCTCAGAATTTTTTATACAAAATAAGTATGATAAAAGTTGTCTAGCCATATATTTTATCTTTACATATTTAATATGTTAAATAAAACGTTTCAATTAAAGGGTTACGCGTTCATACATTCTCGTGGTTGCAAGACATTTTTATGTATAAAAAGTAATGAGAAGTAACATTGTGTCGCACAAATGCAATGGTCGATTAATTTTTTTTGTAAAAGCAGAAAATTTTTTATATTTTTTCCCCCGGCAATTTCGTCGGAGTACAAATTTAAGAAAAAAAAAAAAAAAAACTCAAATATTAAAAACGGTTGGTATGGTTTATCGAATTGTTATTCGGTGACTGTTTCATCACGAACAGTGTTCAACAAGACTTACGCTCATTATACGGAATAATAATGCAATCGCCGCCCAAAGGAATCGCTAAAAATCAATAAAGAGTGTACGAATATTCGATACAACTATTTTATTTTATTCCTTCCTTCCCCCACACGATGACGGTTATGATTTGTAATGATTACTCGATTTGCGAGACTTATGTCGATAACAGTATCATCAATTTCTATAGCTTACTGTAACGCGATCTGTTGTAAAGTTATGCTTGTCGGGAAAAAGCGAAAAGCGGAAAAGGATCGCGTCGGAGATATAGGTACCCATGTCGTAGTGACGTCGCGTGGACGTAATACAACAATTTTTTTAAATCCGGCTTTGCCAAACGTGGTGTACATCCCTTACATTGTGTTTTATACCACGGTCGAGATGATGTACTAATATACGTATACGTAACACCAAAATGGTGACGAATTTTTCGACGCAAACGAGTAGCGGCGGGTGAAAGGATACGCGAAAGGAATGCTGCGCAAAACCCGTATCAAACGCCTATTTATCCTCTCGTATACACACCACGTGTCCTATGTTTTATTATATTATTTTTATTATTTTTTTTTTCGATCGTGTTCCTTCGCGGTCCACCGAATCCGGTTAGATCCACCGAATAAACGCGAGCGTTTACTCACGTCGTGCCCGCAACACGTGCGCACGTGGGTGGGCCCGTCGGGCGGGTCGATGTACGCATGGTGCCGTACCTGGGTACGCGTATCGTGTTCGCAGCACAAACAGGGGTGGCATTAGAACACCGGAACGCGTTTTTTACCCCTTCCCCTCCGTCCGTTTTCCAATAAAAAAAAAAAAAAAAACATTTTTCACCGCATACCTTCCGTTATTACATCGCATATGCACACGTATTTGTTTTTCTGTCCCGCCTTCTACGGCGTAAACGATCCGTTCGACCGGAGAAACGTACGTGAAAAGTTATGAGAAATGCGCTCTCTTAACGTTGTTTTTTCTTGCCCCCCGAGCACCGTCGATCTGTCATCGTGACGAGGGCTCGCGTGACGTTCCACTCGACCGCCGACCCCTATCCTCGCCCGCGTCACCCTCTAAAAGCCGTAAAACGGATGGATCTGTGATTTTTCAAGTATAACATACACCGTATACGTATAGATGTGTGCGTGCGTCGCCGACACGTGGTTTCCGACATCGTTCATTTCGCTGGGTGGAACATCGACGTGTTCGTTTCGCGCAAAAGTCAGACGTTTGTTTGGTT